GCTGCCCACTGCAGCCCCGCGCCAGAGAGCCTGAGCGGCAGGCCGAGGCGCGCCCGCGCCTCGGCGTCTAGGGGCCGCCTGGCCAGCTCCTCCCAGTAGCCCGCCCAGGGCGGTGTCGTGGCGCGCCGCCTCCGCCTCGCCGGCCAGCTGCGCGCGCAGGACGTGCTGGCTGGCTGCGCCCGCGCAGGTGCGCAGCAGGCTCCCGGTCGCTGGCAGCGAGAGGCCGTGCTCGCCGACCGCGTGACTCCCCAGCGGCCCGAGGGCGTTCCAGAGCTCCGCCAAGCGCTCGGTCGCCCGCTCGAGGCCGCTGCTTTGGCCCAACTCGAAGGGCGCGTCGGCCACGTCGCCCCGCGCCCACAGGTGCGCGCCGAGCACGGGGAGCGCCGGCACGATGTGCACTGAGCTCTCGGGGCACAGCCAGTTGCCGAGTCGAAGACAAGACCTGCTTCTTCAGGACGTTGAGCTCTAGCCCAAGAGGCGCGAGGAGCTCTCCCAAAACGCTGGAGGGCGGCCGTGGCGAGCTGCGCCAGGAGCGCCAGGTAGGTGTCGTCCAGGTAGGAGTAGAGTCGCACATACGGGTCGTGGCGAGACAACTCCTCCAGCAGCTGGGAGAGCGCCTCCGTCTGGCCAACCGCGTAGGCAGCCAGCGCCAAGGGGGGTCCCCTGATCCACTCCTCGAAGTTGCCCGCCGCGTCCCTCAGGAGGTGTTTGGCGGCCCGGGAGTAGCACTTGTCAAGCACCCACGCGACTTCCGGAGTACAACTTGTCATGCACCCACGTGACCTCCTTGAAGGTCGGTTCGGGGAAGGTACCCTCATGTTCTTCGTGCTTGTTGGATGTTTCTGTGCATCCTGGAGCAGGGTGCCCTCGGGTGTTCTTCGGTTCGGCTGGCGGAGGGTCTCATGTTCTTCAAGGATGCTATTCGGTCCTAGGTCCGACCGCAGGTCGGGGACATCGACCGGGCGAGATGGGCACAGGGGGGGACGCATCGACCCCCAATCGCCCAGGGATCGCCGATTTGGGTCTGATAGCCTCACCCCGCACGGGAGCGTGCGGAGCTGCTGACGGGGGACCGATCGCCGATCTGTCGGCGATGCATCGCCGCTCCGAGGTCGATGTGTCCCCCCTTGCGCCGAGGGCGAAGAGGGCGACGGCGAGGAGGAGGAGGAGGAGGAGGAGGAGGAGAGAAGGAGGAGGAGGACGAGGGGGAGGGGGAGGGGGAGGAGGAGGAGGAGGAGGGGGAGGAGGAGGAGGAGGAGGAGGAGGAGGAGGAGGAGGAGAGGGAGGAGGAGGAGGAGGAGGAGGAGGCGACGATAGGGGCGAACAGCACAGGGGGAGCGATGCAATTTTCCAGGGGCGCCCGCAGTCCATGTCTTCGGCGAGCCTCCCCGACGAATACGTCCAACGCTCGCCCCTGGGCTATTCAACCCTCTGGTCGCCTTTTGTTTATGATCAATAATCATAATGATGAAAAAACACGTAGTATTATTATTAGTTTTATTATTGTTATTATTATTATACTAATAATAATACTCATACTAATAATAATAATAATAACAAAAAGTAGTAGTAATAATGATACTAATAGGAATAATAATAATAATAGTAATAATAATAATAGTAGTAGTAGTAATAATAATAATAATACGACTACTAATGATAACAGTAATAATAACAATACTAATAATAATAATAATAACAATAGTAGTAGTAGTAGTAGTAGTAGTAGTAGTAGTAGTAGTAGTAGTAGTAGTAGTAGTAGCAGTAGTAGTAGTAGTAGTAGTAGTAATGATAATAATGATAGCAGCAATATCAATAGTAATACGAATATAAACAATAGTAACAATGATAATGCTAAACTTAAGAATGATAATGATGATACCAACAATAAAAACAAAAATATTAATAAGAATGGCAACAAAGATAATATTAAAAGTAACAGTCATCATGATGGTAATAAGCGCAACGATACTAAATAGCAATAAACATTATACTATGACTAGACATAAGAAACATCATCATCATCATCATCATCAGCAGCAGCGTCATCATAATCATAAGAAAACGTATAACATTCACACTATTCAGGTCATAGCAACACTCAGAATAATAAAGTTTAAGAATCAGCATCATCATAATCATAACCATGATCATACGACTAGTAGTTATAATGATAGTCGTGATGGCATTGCTAATAATATCTCAGAACATCCAGAACAAGGATAATATAATGATTCATCATCATCAGCATAATCATAATCAAAAATGGAAAATGGCAATAATGATTCAAAGGTTACACACATATGTTGGTATACATATATGAAAAGAAAACAGGAGGACGAGCTGGAGGAGCAGGGCGAGGACGACGAGGGTACACGACGAGGAGAGGCTCTGGAGGGGCGCCTCCCATCCCAAGCAAGCCCACCCAGAGGACACCCTCACGAAGGCCCTGCCCTGGTACAAGAAGGCCGTGCAGACGGAGCGGGGCCGGAGCGTGTGACCCCCCCCCGCGGCGCCGCGGCTCCCGGAGGCAGGCGGGCCCGGCGGACCTCGCGCTCCGAGCGCCCTCCTCCGCCCGCCTCCGCCGCACCCTCCTCCACGGCGTCCGCCTCCGCCTCCTATGGCCTCCTCGTCCAGCCTCCTCCACCCTCGTGCAGCCTCCTCCTCTCCTCCTCCTCCTCCAGCCTCCTCCAGCCCCCGCCTCCGCCTCTCCCTCGCTCGCTCGCCCGCTGCCTCAACAGCGTCTAGCTTCGCTGCCGATCTTAGCTGGGAGGATGCAAGGCGAAGCGGGAGGCGGGCAAAAAGAGCACTACCGTCGGTCCTGCTCCTCCAGCATCGCACATGGGCCCAAGTCGGTCGTCGTCTGAATGCAAAAATCGGCGAAAGGTGAAAGGACGGTCTGCACGCACGCCCCACATCTTTCGGCAAGGCCCGCCTCCCTCGCAATCATCACTCCATTCTCCTCCGCACTGTGCTGCCCGCTCGTTACACGGGCGAAAGTAGCAAGCAAACTGGAATCGCCCTTACAAGCAACGTGTCCATCACAAACTGCTGGACCACCGAACTGCTCCATGCATGCGTGGGTCGGGGAGACAATCTTGGAATGATCAATAACGCATGGGATCTTCTGTAAGAACAGGTGTGCATCATCAGCGTACCCAGACGAAGGAAGCCACTGCCACGGTGCACCGACGCCGGCCCCCCAGGTGTAAGGCCCCTGCGCCCCCACGGGGCCAGGGAGGTGCTCGGAGCCCTGTCCGCCGTGGCACCAAGAGCACGCACCGCCCCCACGCAAAGCCGAAGACCCCCAAGGGGGCCCAACCCAACAGCGAGCAGCATGGGCTCGCAGGGCCAGGGGGGCCCACCGGTCGAGACCCGCACGGGGTCCACGAACAAGGCAGTCACGTGGGTTGGGGAGGGGGCGGCCTCCGCGAGAGAGAGGTGCAACTCTCTCCTCGTGCGTGCGGACAGGAGCCGCGGCTGCAGAACAGAGCTGGCCCGGACCTCCCGGGTCCTCCGGCAGGGGGCAGCCCGGGCGTGGCACGCAGTTCCTGGGCCCTGGAGACGGCAGGCCAAAGCTGAGGGAGGGAATCCGGCGGCGCAGGGGGGCCCGCATAGGGAGCCCATACACTTTTTTGTTGTTGATCTGCAGGGCGAGAGCGAGCCTCTTCCGCTAAAAGCTCCGCGGGACGCGCACAGCTTGAATTGGCAGAGATGGGGCGGGAGCAGGCGGGGCCTCACGCGGCCAGAAGCGGGCGAAGCCCGGGGATCAGGCGGTGCCGAACGGGACGTGCAGGAAAAGGTACACCTTGGACAGGAGCCCGGAGGTGATAGGGAGCCCATACACACGCCATGCACGGACGTCGGCCCAGTGATTTGTCAATCCTTTTCTTCCGATGCTCCGCTTCTGCCTGTCTGGCCAACTCCTTCCATCCTTCGGCGTTGTTTGGGTCACGTCCAGGGGCCGCCCTCCAATTGCTGTTGCATTAGAGAACCCGACGCACATGGGCCGGCAAACGGTTGGGGGTGTGGAATTCGTCCAGGCAGATGCGGCGAACCGTGCCATAAACATTGTTTTTTGGCTGGCTCTCCGACTTGTGTTACCAGCTGCAGTGCATGGCAAGCGTGCGAACAGATGGGGAAGTAAATCTTGAATAGTCGCGGGTATATTTGGTCTCTTCCGCATCCTCGAGAATGGGCCCGCCCATCTTATCAAGCTTCGTCCCACGATTGACGAGTTGAAGGGTTAGGTAAAAGCATCATGAGCCCACTGCTCTTTCTGGTAAGCAAGAGCACGTTGACACATAGCACCGATGAAGGACCAAAACTTATTCAGCCCTTGGCGCACAAGCTTTACCCAACTGTCGATGGGGCCTGATTCAGGCACCTCCCTCTTGCGACAAGTACTGCAAAGCCACTGGAGGTCATATTGTAAAATGATAGGCCGTCCTATGTCTGCACCATGCAAAAAGCAGCAGCAACAACAACAACAACGACAACAACAACAACAATACTTTTAAGACTGTTCACCCTTATCTGCTCGAGTGTCGAATAACGCGTATTTCCCAAACCCTCGATGCCCGCCCTCTTCGTCTTCGATCGAACCCCTTTGGGGGAATATACTTTTCTTCCCTGCAGGCCGGGCAGGCGGGGCGGCCGCGGACCGTCGGCCTGGCCAGCGGCGACGCTGATCGGCGGGGCGGCCGCGGACCGTCGACCCGACCCCAAGAGGGACGGACAGGGGACCGACCACGACGACGACGACGACGTCGACGACGACGACGGCGACGGCGACGGCGACGACGACGACGACGAGCGAAATTAAGGGCGAGAGAGAACGACAGCAGGGCCACAAGGACACGAAGTGGGCCACGAAGGGCGACAGCGGGGACACGAAGGGAATGCGTATGGGGCCACGAAGAGCGCGAACGAGCGGGGGCCACGAAGGGCATACGTATATTGGGCCGCGGAGGGCAAGGACGGGGCCACTGAGGGCAGCAACGGGGCCACGAAGGGCAGCGAGGGGGCCACGAAGGGCGACAGCGGGGCCACGAAGGGCAGGAAGGGGGCCACGAAGGGCGACAACGGGGCCAAGAAGGGCATGCGCATGGGGGGCCACGACGGGCGCGAACGATCGGGGGCCACGAAGGGCAGATCATGCGGGGCCACAGAAGGCAACGACGGGGCCACTGAAGGTAGCAACTGGGCCACGTAGGACAGTGAGGGGGCCACAAACGGCGACAGCGGGGCCACGAAGGACGTGCACATGGGACCAGAACGGACGCGAACGAACGGAGGCCACGAAGGGCATACGTATACTGGGCCGCGGCGGGCAAGGACGGGGCCACTGAGGGCAGCAACGGGGCCACGAAGGGCACCGAGGGGGCCACGAAGGGCGACAGCGGGGCCACGAAAGGCATGCATATGGGGCCACCACGGGCGCGAACGTGCGGGGGCCACGAAGGGCATACATATATGGGGCCACGAAAAGCAGCGAGGGGGCCACGAAGGGCAGCGAGGGGGCTGCGAAGGGCTACAACGGGGCCACGAAGGGCTGCGACGGGGCCCCGAAGGGCAGCGAGGGGACCACGAAGGGCTACAACGGGGCCACGAAACAAAACGAGGGGGCCACGAAGGGCTGCAACTGGGCCACGAAGGGCAGCGAGGAGGCCACGAGGGGCTGCAACGGGGCCGCGAAGGGCAGCGAGGGGGCCACGAAGGGCTGCAACGGGGCCACGAAGGGCAGCGAGATCCCGATTCTTCGGTAATTTGTGGGGGAGTCCTAAACGTGAGCGCGACTCCTGGGTGCCTGGGTGTCGGGAGCGCGGCGCTTGAATAAATTGCAAGAATTTCCACCGCAAGGACGCTATTCTTCAGCAAATTGCAGCAACTCTCCAGCGCGAGCGCCTCTCCAGAGCGCCGGGAGAGCGATTCCTGAATACACTGTAAGGAGGTCCCAAGCGAGAGCGCGATTCCTGAATAAAATGCAAGGAAGTCTCGGGCGGGAGCGGGGGTCTTGGCTAAATTGTGAGGAAGTCTCAGGCGGGAGCCGTTGTTGCTGTAACCCGGGGGCCAACGACACAGTTTGACCCTCAAGACTTTCCTTGATAAAAAACAGGGTGCGAGCCCCGGGAAGGGCACTTCGATCGAGAAACAACAATGTGCACCGGACGGGGGGGATTAACAATAATTATTCTTCAGAAATGAGAGTTCAACAACAAAACGGCACGAAGACCAGCAGGAGTATGAGTCTCACCTGATACCTGAGCCTTGCGACCCTCATGACGTGCGGATGTGAAGCCTATGGCTTTGCACAACGCTTCCTTGTGTAGCGCGTGTTGTCTTGCACGGTTGGCAACAGCCAGCTTGAAGGTCATTCAAAAGTTTCTGAACCAATCTAGTGGACAGATCATGCCACACACACACACACACACACACGCACACCATCCCATACAGCATGGTAGAGAGAGCGTAGGCCTAACTGTATCTGACCTTGTTGGCACGGGGGATGGCGTGACGCTTGGCACGGGTTCTCTGAAGGGGCCGACACTCACCCCTAACTCGCGCCGTTTGATGGTTGGCTTTCAGGGCCATCGACTTGTTTTCCGCGAGTAAGGTACCTAAACACTTAATGTCACGGCGGATGGCATGGAACCTCTAGCCTCTCGCCCACACTTGTTTCTGAACTAGCTTCATTCCTTTGCCCGCTGGTCCCATGAGCAACAAGAGTGTGTTAAGATTCCACCGCAGGCCAGCTTCAAAGACAGCGCTCAGCAAAGGTGGCCACCTGAGTGGTCGATTGCTCTGGGAGTGCAGGTGTCAGAGAGTAGTCTACAATGGTAGAGTCGTCTACATAAGCCCTTCCAGCTTGGTTAAATTGATAGTCAGAAGCCTTGGCAAACAGGCGAGAGGTGGTGTCAGGGGGGGTCCAAACGAACTCGAGCTGCGATATGCCTTCTTGCTCTTGTCTTATGGGCGGGCTTAAGCCAACACTCAAAACGTACGTAGCAAGCACCGCTCCTAGTTTGCAACCCCGCATGGGTCTCTGGAAACCATCGACCCCACGAGCCTTCCGAAAATTGTGCGTTTGGAACTCCTCATAAAAACGGTGAAGGTTCTTTTCGGTGATGATATAGTCGGCTGTTTGGGTAGCGGCCAAGTTGCCAACAGCACATTGTAGGACAGGGTAGATTGGGAGCATGGCCATCGCGTAGTCAAAGTTGTCCTGCTCCACTGGCACACCTACAATAGCTTGTCTAATGGCAGTGCACAAGGCCGCCTTGTATCCATGCTGAGAAATCAAGATGTCTTGTCTTGAAATTGGGCAGCCGATCTGGAAAGGACCATGCGGGGGACGAAATCCGTGCCACGGCCAGGGAAACCACCGCACTGGGAGTATTGCCAAATGGCGGCCAACCCAACACTGACCAGTCCTCGCATGAAGGAAGCTGCTGTGCAGCTGACTTATAGTGTTGCCAAGATGGACGGACCGATGATCAG